TGGAATGTTGCTTGTCATCGGCTCTCGCTGATGTGGTGACTCGGACTGCATTCAGAAATATCACCCAGGTGCCTTCATGTATTAACTCATTTTTGTTTAATAATGGGTGAATAATAAGGATAAAACAATACTCGGGTAATGTTTTATCCTTATTATTCACCCATTGTTAAACAAAAATGAGTTGATACACGAAGATGATACACTTGGATAATATTTCTGAATGCAATCCGAGTCACCACATCAGCGAGAGTCGGTGACAAGCAACATTCCATCTTGGTCCATTTATCTTTATACTGTATACAGATAACGAAAAAGTGTCACGAGCTTTCCGTTTTTCCTTTCAAACGATCCCTCGAAGTCGAACGATGCAAAAATGGTGAAATCATATCGAAAGTTTTATTCTAGTTGTCTTCTTGAGATTTCCTGTACGGATTTCTGACACAACATAAAGGGTCACAATACCAATTCTAGAGGTCACATGACATTCGTCATGCTGTCATACAAATACAGTTTGTTCTTTTTAGCTGAACTTCTTGTACGGTTTATCTGTCCTTTATTTCTCTCTAACGTGAAGAAAAAGGGAAGAAAGATGAACCGTGAAAGAACTTTAGCTAAAAAAAACAGACCTAGATAATCACGCAGAATCGAAATAATAATTGAAAAGGATGATTCATACCTGTAGATAACCTGTAAGGAGCTCTCATATTTCTCAAAGGCGCGCCACAGAGCGTTGTTTCTTAACTTGCCGAACTCCGCGACGGCGTCCGTGTAATCCTTACCTGTACCGCTGTATGTCGATTGGATGACATTAGTGAGCGGTTTCACCACGTCGACGTCCGAAGGCTTTTTTAAAGGGATCGCAATCAGCTCCGCCATATTTGACATATGAACTGACGTCGTTCCGACTTCTGGCATGATGTAAGAACAGCAGGATTGCAATATGTATAGTACGTAAAATCGCATACAGAGCACGCTCAAGTCGCCCAAAATCACAAAATTAGAGTCCCTGGAAGTAGAGAATCTGGACATTCGGGATTCCGCGTGATTTGCTGGATTCA